ACAATCTGTCTTTTGATGAACTGATGTTGATGTTGTAGCCAGCTCTATAAAGAGGTTTTTTTTCCCTCTTTTTTCCTCTTTTTTTTTTTTTTTTTTTTAATTTTTAAAATAATCCTGTTAAAACTTCCCTCTTCATCTTGGTCACTCATTCCCTCCTCCTCTAATCTTAACTTGCTTTATTCTTTTCTCTTGTAAAAGTCTAGTAAAATCAAAACAGAAACCAGAAACATTTAAAACAGGAATAATGTTTGTTTGAGTGAACCAAAAATGTATGAAGACTAGAAGCTCAGTCAAAACTAAACTAGTAATATCTTAGGACTTCCTTTATTTAATCTGTGGTGACCAGCTTGTGTTCTACTCTTTTATTTTAAATTCTTAAAGCTTTCTACACAATCTGCAAGCAGCATCTTTTCCTCTTTCATCAGTTGCTAAAGTTGGAAACTTTTGAAGGAATGTTTTGGTCATCCAAAACAAGGATGTTTGGTCATTTTTTCATACACACTCATTTTGTGGTTAAAACTAGCCTGCGGCTGAGCGCAGCCTACAGCTAATGGCCACAGGCTCTATTAGGAGAGTCTGAAGTCATTTAACTTGTGACTGATGCTCAGGTACTTCCCATGACATTACGTGTTGTATTCAGACCGAACCTGTGTTTATGGCACGTGTATTTTCTTGTTCTTAAAGAGACTGACGATCCGAATCGTTTACTAGGCTGTGGACCATAAATGAACATAGTTTTGTTTTACCCTGACTGATCAATCGATGGGACTAGGGAAGCAACCGGGGATTTATACAGCCAGTGACTATATTAATAAGCACCACAGCCAGGAAACACAGATGCACAATTACATGGCTATGAGCAAGTACTTGAAGGTTAATAATTTTTTATTTTTTTAATCAGATGATTGAATCAGACAAATATAATAGAAAAATGTGTTGGATATGGGTCTAAAAGTCTAAACGATATGGGTAGTGGTGGCCTAGTGGCTAGGGCATAGAGCTTGGTATCCTGAGCTTGTGATTTCGAAACCTACTCCCAGAGACTGCCACTCTGGGTCCCTAAGCTAAGACCCTTAACCCCCGATTGCTCCCCAGGCTCTGCACAATGGCAGCCCACATCCCCAAGGGGATGGGTTAAATGCAAAGAGTGAATTTCCTTACACTGTACTTGTGAAAGTGTATTGACAATAAAACACTGGAGGAAAAAATTATCAGTTATTGAATATATTTTTATTGCGATATATATTAATATTGTTATTGTGCAGCCCTGTTTGAATGGAAACCTAATGTTCATGAATTCCACAAATAATGTGTTCTACGCGGCTTTTATAAAATACTTAAATTACTACTTTTGCCTGTTTATATAAAGGCCAAATAAACTGATATTGTGCCACGATTTCAATTTTCATTGTTAATTTTTGAATGGAGTTTAGTGTGTAAATCACATCCATCATGGTGATTCGATTCAGTATCAATTTCCTGATCCAACGATTCGATTATTTTCAATACTCAAGAATACACTACGATGCGATACGATTCGATTAATTGGTTAATTTTCTTTCTTTTTTTTCTTTTTTACCTTATAGGCTAGACTTTGTTTCAAATTTGAAATAAATCAGTAAAAGCTGTGATATTGTTATGCATTTTATTTGAAAAACAACAACAAATAACAGAAGTAGCAAAGTTGTACTCCACCTAGGCCTATGAAAACCTCTTTCACTGAAAAATAATAACGCTTCTGTGTTTACACGAGTGTGTGTTTGCAAGCGGAAAGAGGGTAGTGGCTAAAGGAAACGAAGTAGGAGGCCAAAATAGGTTTAGTGCCACCGAAGCACGCAAGTCAGAACTACATCCAGAAGCTAATGGATAAAAATAGACCGGAGGGGAAAAAAACATGAATCGATACTCTTGCGGACGTGTCGATGCATTGGATCGTTGGCTGTTGGATCGACGCAAAACAATTATTATTAACACCCGTAATGTAGTTTATGAAGGATGAACAATTATGGATTTCTGACAATGTAGTATTAAAGCATTGTGCTTTGAGCTGGTTTTGCTGGACAGGTTAAGCTGGAGTTTTGCCTCTAGTGTTTATGTCTAATTGCTCTTTCTCGAGCAAATATTAATTTACCTAAGGCCAGAGCTATTTTCTGTTGCAGACTGTACTCTGCAATTTTTTTTTCCTTTAATTCAAGACATATATTCTAAACTCAGATAAGAAATAAAGGTTCTAAGACAGATGCAGCTTAAAGAATATAGCACAGTTTTTTTTGACATAACCTAGTGCATAGTAATGGCACCTGGTTGTGCAGGTCACTGGCTAAAGCGCTAATGGGGGATGATCTATCTAATAATGTAATGTCTGCCTGCTGTGGTCGGCCATACTATTAATTCGCCAGTAATAATCCTGTGTAAACGGACATAATCTTTTACGTTTCCTCATTCCTTTAGAGCCTCAACTTTTCACTCTCTGGACTCTACCAGCTGAGTCCATATGGTCCTCAGCAGGTCTTCAGGTCCCGCTATGTTTCCTGTGTGGAAGGTCACTAAAACAAAAACGTGCGTTTGCCCTTAACACACTCGGTGACATTCCTCACAGATCTTCACTCTGCAGCTCTGAACATGTTTTTCAGAAACACTTTTGCATGGAGCTATGAAATAATGTCAGGCTGTTCCATGTAATGACATTCATTTCACAGACGTTTTTAAACCTGGATTAAATTGTAGTTGGATTTAAATACCCAGTTGAAGACTTTAAAAATATCATAAATAGGGGCGTGCAAAATAATTGTCACGATGATGCATCGCCATTCTAATTTTTGTGATCTATTGCATCTATTCTTGACGCCAATTATCTATTCTTAATTTAAAAAAGGAATAAATAAAATACATGCATGGTTGGCGCACATCAGCCAAAAACAAGTGGAATACAACTTCCAGTCCAGTAGATGTCCCTGCGGATGTGTTGACGCCCGCTGCTTTGTATCACAAGCATTTCCGGCTGCAGGATACTAAACATTCATAAACAAAACATGGAGGAGACTGAGAAAATTCGCCCGCCTCCATCACATTTTGACTTTAAAAACAAAGAAGGTAAAAACTAAATTGATATGAAGCACGTAATTTGCAAAAGGGGAAATATACATTTGAATGTTTTGATTTCATTAGTTTAAAGGACCAATGAGGCCATGTAAACGGTACTGATTATTCTTATTTTGTTATTTTAAGTTTTATAAATCCTAAGCTCTTTTGTCAGCGTGTCCACTCCAGTAATAGTGATATTTGTGTCCAGTATTTGTTTTCATGGCAACACCTCCAAAAGTCATTTTAATAAATACAGCAATGTATGAATTCAGTGGCTTTCAGTTATGTATGAATTAAAGACACTATCCAGATTATACACAGCCAGTCAGCCACTGGTAATGGCTGTATTTTTTTCTAACTGTGTTCAGTGAAAATATCGAAATGCATTGTCATGCATCGCAATATTTCAAGTATCGCGATGCATCGTGATTCGAATCGAATCATAACTTCTTTGGCAAATTTTAAAGAAGAGTTATAAAACCACGGCTCCAAACAACAGGGAGGTTTCCCTGAGCGGGAATCAAAGTCATTAACAGACTCACCTCTGAACCTTTTTCAATATTTCCAATTAGATTAGATTTAGACACAAACTAAACAGAGATACTGCTCTGGGTTTGAAGGGAAAACTAACTAATATTTGTCACATGGACACAGAGGGTTGAACTATTGCCTAAGGTTACCAACGGGGGCAGTATAGGAAGAGTGAGGAAGTGGAACGCCGTCATAATGGTACAGAGAAATAATGACAGCACTGGAAGAGATGCACTGGGGGCGAATAAGAGGAAGTTTGTACAACACATGAGTTGCAGAGCTCTGTGAAGATTAAGCTGACTGAGCAGCCAAATGAGTAGCTTTCTCTTGGCTGTAGACGCCTTTTCCTGATGCAGCCTTCTGCTGTTTTGGCATCGGGAGGATAACTGGTACATATTGATCTGTGTATATTGATATTCTTTACAGTTCTCAAAACAATTGGAAGCACTATTTGGAATATTTCTAACAAAACAAGTAAGAAGATTAGCAAAAATGCGTAGATCCACTTCTACATCTACATCTACAGCGTAGGTGTTCTCCTGCAACATTTTCCACTTATGGAAACTTGGAGAAACCTCATCATATAGCAAAAACTTGGGTTAAAGGGATGGTTTTGTCTGTGCTATATCGATGGAGTAAAAAGCAGAGAGGAGAAACTACAGGCGGGAAGAGTAAAACCACACAGTAAAGTCAAGGATGACAAATAAATCAGTATTCATAGCAGAATACAGGAGGCGCTGGAGTTCATCCTCATTTAATATGATGAATGATGACAAAAGCTCCCTTCTGATCTCGCAGCGTTTATCAGCGCTAACTGCTGCTGCAAGTTTGAATTCACCCAACAGCGAAGGGAGAAGCGTAGCCGTTCTTTCCTCTGTGACCTTTAAGGAACCGTACCGGGCCTTCATCCTGCTGACACCCTCCCCGTGTTTGTTTTTCATTACTGGAGTACATCCTCATGGGACAGAGCAAAGTCAACATCCTGGGGCTCGTTTGGCCTCATGGAGGTGCAGCCTAATGTTTCACTGTCATTGCAGGAGTGCCAACTGTCATCATTGGGTTCATCTGTGCCTGTCAATGCAACTATGGATTAGTTAGGTTTAGGTTTGGCTTCCCAAGAGGCTGGGAGGCTTCTTTTTTTCTTCTTCATTCATAATGATCTAAACTGGAAGTGGAGACATTTTACTCCATTTCCTGCAGTGGTTGTAAACCTCAGGCTACCTGCTCTCATTGAGCATCTCTACAACAGAAAATTGCAAATAGAAGCATCTCTCTCACAGCTGATGCACCAAAGGTTTCATGCTGTTGATGCAAACGGATTAATTTTTCACAGGACCTGATATGTTCTGAGAAATTAGCTTCAGAGCTGGTTGATACCTTTTCTGATTTTCTGACCTTTTTTCTGCAGGGAGGAGGAGGAGAGCCTACGCAACAAGATTCGTGCCGACCACGAGCGAGCACTGCAGGAGGCCAAAGAGAAGTTGCGAAAGTCTCATAAGGAGCTCAAGGCTGAGATCCAGACGGAAAAGGCAAAAGTTATGGAGGATCTAAAGAAGAAGGAAGCGGGCCCTAAACCCTTACCCCCTGTCCCCATGCCTAAAGTGGTCGGGGTCAGCGACGGGGAGCCACTGGAGGCGGACATCAAAGAAAAGCGGGATAAGATCAGAGAGGTAAGAACATCTCTGTGTAGAAGTTACTGGATGGTGTGGCTTGATTTAAACTTCCTGCTTGATTCCATCAATGTGCCCCCTAATGGTGAGGGAGGAAACTGTATGCAATCTATTGCACATTTCATTATGTTGAAGCTACAAGCTTCATTGGAAATGTATTTATTTAAATGAATAATTAGCAGTGAAGAAGTGGTTGATGTTTCTGGGTTTTTTCCTTTTGCATGTCAGCATGTTTTCATGGGTATCGCATAGGGATGTTAACTTCTTAGATGTCAGTTAAGGCCCGGCTATTCATTTATAGCATTGCACTGATAAAGATTTACTTTTTGGCAAATGTAGATTTCTTTCGGTTATAGACTCCTTGGTTTTCTTTAGCTCAGGGTGACATCAGTTCATCACTTTTGTTATTTAGATTTGCACTCAACTGATGGACTAGCTAACTGTCTTATGCTACTGGATGCAAACATTTGTGCGTCTTATTTTGAACATGAATGTTTTACAACAAACATGTTTGATTTTCAGTGGACCGTCGTTCACTGACCGATCGCTCAGTGGGTGTGCGCAAACAAGGATTCTACTTTTTCTTTCTCTCAGATGAAAACACAGAAGCATGGCGGGGTGCGGGTGAAATGGCGTTCTTTCTATAAAACTGACAGACGGTAGTAGCCACGTTTGCTCAGCCATGTCTTTGTCCAAATACGTCGTCACCTTTTCTTTTTAGGGCTGTCAGCACAAAATTGCACACATTGCCAAAGCAGCGCGTTTCTTTCTAGCTAGCTTCATATTCCTCTTCTACTGGTTTGGCTTCTGGATAGACGAGTCCGAGTAGCGGCATCTCACTGCGGACCTGAGTACGACGTTGTTTTTAGACGTACAGTGTGAGCAGGTAGATCGCATCAGAGCGTCGTGCCGCACAGTGTGAGAAATACATCATTCACTTGTGATCTCACACAGTGTGAGCTGTAGCTGCTTGCAACGATTGAAAAATCGCGGAGTCTATCCCCGGCTTAAACCGACCATTCAGATAATCACTGCTTTTGCTCCGTTGTTCACGTAACTCCTCCTCCACTGCACGGTCCTTGCGCCATCTTTGATATTAGTTGCCGCTGTCGGATAGCGACAGCCTATGGCGACAGCAGGTTGCTGTGAAAGCAAAGCCCATAATGATGGTGTGTGAGGAGAGCTCACTGCATGCTACTTGGATGTAAAATAATTGCCATCATGGCTTTGTCAAGCTGCTGCCTACCTTTGTGAAGCAGGAAAAAGACTAATACAAAGTGAATCCAGTAGAACTTTTTATTGCCTTCCTGCAATGGGTGACAATAGTTGAATAAACTTTAGGCTCTCAAAATGGTATCGATGCCCATTTTGTTGGTTCTCGCCGATGCCACCATTTTAGTGCTGGATCGGGGCCTCGCCCGATACTATTATGAATGATTAATTATAGTAATTTATAATTACTATTATAAATTATCCTTCAGTCGATCAATAAGATCAATCATCTTTTAGATTTATAGAAACGAAGGCGGCAGATTTTCTCATGGCACCTGTTGTATGAAGGACGATCATAACGTTCATGTTTCTCAGACAGTTTAACTTGGACATGTGACTCTAGTTTGCGTGTTGGAATAATTGCTGTTGCCCGCTGCCTGACTCAGAGCCAGCTCCTACTGACGGCCGCAGCAGGCCAGACAGACAGTGCATGTGCAGAATGCAGATGGTGCTATCTGGTGCTGTTCTCTTTAGACATGGTGCCAGGGCATCAGCCCCTCTGCTCTGCTTTGCTCTCCTTCCTCTCCCCTTTCTGCAAGTTTGCTTGCATAATTGCCTCATATCGTGTCTCATGAAACAGCACTTGGAGTCAGAGCACTCGCTGTGCAGAGGAGTAGACCCGTTTTCTCCAAGCCGCCTTTGTCTCTAAAAGCCTCTTTTGTTCCTTTTCATAATTGCCATGCAGAGAGAATGCCATACACCCCCAAATGAGCAAGGATGAGGCAGCTGTATGGGCAACAGCACAATCCTCCTTTCCTGATTGCCTCACAAATCCAAGGAGAAAACCTCATAACCCTGCAGAACAGTCTGTGCGAGTGGAATACACGAGCTTTGCATCCTTTATGTCTTGGTTGCATTTTGATGCTGAGAGGTTCACAGAGGTGATCCAGCATCCTCTATCAAAGTCGCTTGTTTACAGAAAGCTGTAATTCCCTCAGCATGGAACTAAAACATCCACTAACCTTAGATCTGACGGGTATTTTTGCTCCGTTCTCTGTAGGCTTTGTAATATGGATCCATGAGGTAGAGAAAAAACTGGATAAAATCTATACCTACAGATAATTTAAATGCTTTTTTTTAGCTGATTCGTCTTTAGGTTGAAGCTGACGATCTTGGGATCTCCTGACAATCATTCTAAAAAGAAATATTCCAGGTGTTTTCACATCTGGCTCATCATTTATGTTTGTTGTGATGTTGGATCATCTAAGCCCAGGGTTGGGCTGCAGGATAATAGGAAAGAATGCGATATCTGAGTATCTTTATAGATGTTAAACAAACCTAATCATGTCAGTTAGGTTGCAGTGAAAGAATGGCTTCTGATGCATCAATAACATTAGTCACGATTTTGATGGGTGTGTTTGCAAAATTGCCCAACAGTTTCAGTGCAAAAATAAAGAACAACTTAACTAATAAAGCATTAATCACAACAGATAAAATATTAAACATTTTTTATAAAATGGAGGCAGAATTCCCTAAAGATCTGCAGGACTACTGATACAACATGCATATCGCTTGATCTACAAATGTCTTTTTACAGTTCTGTTTAATAACGCTTATGCTAAAAATGAGAGCATTTAGAAAATGATGCAAATCAAGTTCACACTACTACTGGTGACCCCACTCCCACTTATTACCTGTTAGTGAAGTTGAGTCTGTTTAATCAAAATTCCGCAGCCAGCTCTCATTGTTTTCCTGTATAGTTTGATTTTTGTGGCTTTATTGCCCAGCAATAAGCGCTAAATCATATTTATGGTGTTGATCACTCTATATGGACTGATCCAACACCAGTGGAAAAGGACATCAATGTCAACTTTCCCTTTAAATGTCAACTGCTAACAGTGACAAGTGATGCTAAGGATTTATTGATACTAATACACCTAATGATGCTCTTCATTTAGCTGGTATTTTATTAATACCTTTTTATTTTTTCCTTGATTAATCAAAGTGTAAAAAATGAGCACTAACTGGTTTATTAAGTTTTTTAAAGTACTTTAAAATGGAAAGTTTCCTCCAAAGTAGATATGTTCTACTTTGTAACTCCGCCACTTTTCCTGCCAGACCCAAAAACCTGCTGCCGCGACTAAAATAGGCCTGGGGTCGGTCTTAAGCCGGGCATACACTGTGCGATATTTTCAATTGTTGCGCGTAGCTACAATTAAAACTGTACGACGAAGTTGCAGTGTACAATGTGCGACCTGACGATCTGATGCGATCTACCAGCTCACACTGTACGTCCAAAAACCACAGGACTGAGCACCGAGAGATGGCGCTGGTCGGACTCATCAATCTGGAACAAGAAAAACTTCCTTTTTTTTGCACATGCACAGTGCTCGAGGTTCTGGTAAATCCACTCCTAGCTCTGCTCAACAGCAGGATTTTAGTCCACAAACACCTCATGGCGGCCGACTGAATTTCAAAGATGTCTGAATTTCTCCCGACCTCACGATTTCTTATTGGGAGTTGGTCGTGAGAGGCTAATCGCCCCTCGTTACCCCTTGTATACTACACTATGCAGGAATGTTCGATCAGGCTTAAAGTCGGCCCTATCGAAAATATTCTAGCACGACTAGAGAATCGACCTGAAAAGGGCAAAAAAATCTTAGAGTGTATGCCCGGCTTAAGTCGGAACTACATAAGCCTCTGGAGAAACAGGTGGCGGGTGTTCCTATCCCCATTGATTCTCAATGAACTCTAAACACCACAGCCTCATCTAACATGGTTTTTTGTCTATTCAGGAGGTCAAATCAGTTTCAATTATGTTTAGAGCTTAGCAAAGCAGAGCTTCCAGTTGATGGTTGGTTGAAGGATGGTTTCTATGTGCTAGCAGCCACCATATTATTGTTTTAGACATGAAATATATTACAAATCTCAATGCATTCCAAAAAAAGAAAATAAAAGTGGCGGGCAGGTGACGCAGTGGTTCGTGCGCCACGACTCATGTACGGAGGCCTCAGTCCTCGACGTGAACGACCCGAATTCAAATCCGACTTGTGGTCCTTTGTCGCATGTCTCTTCCCCTCTCTCATACCCCCTTTCCTCTAAGCCTATTGTTAGAAAAACAAGTCACTAGTGCTGTTAAAACTAAAAAAAAAATAAAAAAAAATAGAATACAAATCACTTTTTCCAAGTTTGAAGATGTTTCGCTTACCATCCAGGAAGCTTTTTCAATTCAAAATGTCTGGACTAGCGTTGAGTTCGAGTTTTATACAGTAGCACAACAAAGCCTTGTATTGGTTTTTAAAACATGTAAATTCAAACAGACAAATGGGTCCACTCCTTAGGATTGGGGGTCGTTTAGCTTCATTTGTTAGCCATAATGGAATGACTATGACCTGAAACTCTTCACCAGCAAATCTCAATAGAGTTATCATCGCCCTGTCGTATCTTAGTGGTAATTATTGGTTACATTTTGGTCAGTCCTCACATGTGTTCATGTTGTTCACGCCTTTTTTTCATATGTTCAATGTGAACTGCCCAACTAAACATGCAGCAGTCGTGGCCATTAGCCAAATCCATCTGAGAACTCCTGCTGCTTTATTCCAGCCCTTTCTGCAGAAATGTTGCTTTTGTTCCCTTCAAATGCATTTTTCATCAAGCATTCAGGAGAGCAAAATTCAAAACTATTTTTTTAAGCTCTGCTTTTCTGTTGTTTCCTTTGTGACCGACTGGCTTCTGCATGAGAATAGTTGGAATAAATGTGTTTATGTAATTAATGGTGCTACCAGGCC